TCAAGAGTGCCACTTCCAAAATTGTGAATTTTATGGCATTATTTCTTTGAAAATCTTCTCTGTTCCTGAGTATTAAATAAAATAATTAAGTACATAGTTGTGATGAGCAAGAGTGTCTCTACAAAAGTTATGAATTTTATGACCCCTGGGTCAGGGGTTCTAGTGATAAGGCGTAGATCTATTGAGTATATGGTGAAAATGCATTTATTCTTTGAAAATCTTCTTCTTTGCTTCTGGGTATTAAATAAACTAATTAAGTACATAATTATGATGATCAAGAGTGCCACTTCCAAAATTGTGAATTTTATGGCCGTAGGGTCGGGAGTTCTGGTATTAGGGCGGGGCTTTATTGAATATATAGTGAAAATGCATTAATTCTTTGATAATCTTTTCCTTTGCTCCCGGGTTTTATGCCAATGACCCAAATATATATATATATATATATATATATATATATATATATATATATATATATATATATATATATATATATTTTTCGGATTCATGAAGTGATCAAATATATATATATATATATATGTGATATATATATATATATATATATATATATATATGAATTCGAAAAATCTGACAGTTATTCCTTATATTTACATGCTTTGATTCTGCCAATCCACGGGCTCCAAGCCTGCTTCTCTCTAGGTGTTGTCCCGCCTTGCACGTGGTTTTTTTTGGAACCGCGCCAAAACATTCATGAGGAAATCAATTACATTTACAATTGGTAATTTTATCTCGGACAAAGACATTGGAAATGTAAATATATATATATATATATGGAGGGTTTATGTATAAAGGAGACCACTCGTCCACATATATATATACATTAGGGGGACACGGATATTGTGGGGACACCAGATTGGTCCCCTTAATGTTTAAGCTTGAATACTTAAATTACAGAATGATCCGGTAAACATTAGTTGTAAAATTTTAATAAAGTTTGACATGATCTTACAAAATTTAATTACATTTAATTTTTTAAGTACCGAAAAGGTAGATAAATAGAATCCCATTTTCAGCATATATATTTTTAGGGAAATAAATTTATGCTTTAAGGACACCACTAAAAAGTCTCTTTATTTTTCTTATTTCCCATATATAAAAATAAATCTGCTAATTCATGCATTCATTTATGATGTCTTTAAGCTTAAGAACACGATTTTACATATTTTTGAAAACTGGTTAAAAAATTCATTTTTTCTTCACCATGAAACGCACTTCTGTTTCGAGTCGTGCTATGGTCATCCGGGTATTTCCAGGGAAGGACGCTACAGAGTACAGAGTCACATGTTCAAGGGCAGTATGTGATTTTTTTTAAATGGTAAGTTTATTTGCTAGGTGTATTTTGCTGAGTATGAGAATTTATGTAAATGTTGATAGTTAGATATTATAAGGTAATGAATCGCGAGATATTTATTATAGAACGTAACGGCGTGTATCACCAAAGCAGGCACGTAGCATCGTTTTTGAAAATGGGGGGCCAACCAGAGAAATTTTTTTTCTCACCTGAAAAAGTTGACAAGCAAAAAAAAAACAAACCAAAAATTAAAAGTTCCCCGAACTCGAAAATCCTATTTCGGGGGGGGGGGGGGGGGGGTTATGACCAACTTTCTCGAAGCCAACTTACTATCACCAGGGACCTATATACTAAATAAAATTAATATAGGTTAGTATATATAGGTCCCTGCTATCACTTCCAATTTTTTCTGTACAATCCTTGATATCTCTTTTCTATGGTAACAAGTGGGGGGGGGGGGGGGGGGGCAACCATTCTTTCAATGGACATTTACTATAGTCAAGGTAATGTTGGGGAACAAAGTGGGGGGGGGGGCAGGTCCCCCCTGGCCCCCCCGGATGCTACGTCCCTGCAAAGTTGAGATGTGGTTACTGATGTTCATCCAACATGTACATGGTCATGATCATGATGATGTATTGTTGGATAATTCACAATTTATTGCATATTGGAAACCAAATTAAGCTTTTTTTTTTAAATTATGTCGGTCAATAGACGTATTGTACCTTTTTTTAAGTATTCAATATTCGCTATGTTTAGAGAAAATTCAAGATAGAGATATTGCTAATTCATACTCCTAGGCCCTAACATGCGAGTATCCTTTATTGCCAAAAAATACCACATTTTTCTTTGACATATATCCAAAATATAATTTTTTTTTCTGCTGCACCATTCCGGGCTAAAAATAAACCCCGTCCATGACCTTGGGTAAACAGGAAGAAGAGTACCCATTATTGCCGCTTATATCTTTTCCTGATTATTCACCAACTAATCGCTAAGCGAATCAACAACTTTTAAATTAATGACAATTAAAGGTCGAAAAATGTCTTGAATCTAAAATAATTCAATTAGAAACGCAATTTGAATGTCTTATTTTAAACTTTTGCTAGCCTATTTTTTTCGATGTTGCTACGACCTCCTGCGCTAAAATAACATGTGCTTTATCGGAACTGACAATGACCGAAACGCTATTTTTCCAAGTGAACGCAGTATCATGACAGATAATAGAAAGAAAAGTATAAACCTCATCCGCTGCAGAGCTTTGGCAAACACCTGTTTAACCAGTTTTTGCATGTATTTTGCTTGTGCACGTGAACCAGCCTTCAAAATTTCCTTGCAACTTGGTGGGCGGGGTTCTGTGGTTAACTGACTAAAGCCGAGAGACTAGAGCCCAATGGTGTACTTACACATCGATAACAGTAACTGGATGTCATTGGTCAGTGTCATTTGGGTAAGAAAACTCTTTAAAAATCTTCTCAAGAACAACAAAGCCATGATTGGTCATATTTTAATGGAAGCATCCCCAGGACTGATATTTCTGCTTTTTCCTAGCCAGAATGCTCAGGTGAGCACATTTTCATTCATTTCATGATAAGTATTTTGAATTACAGGTAAATATCAGTATCTCGAACATGGGATATCTAGAATACCCCGCTTATGTCGAAGTCGATAGCCGGTCCCGGCCGATTTCTCTATATTTATGATTTTAAAAAACACCTGATATCTCAAACACGGTAATCTCGAATACCCCACTGATGTCGAAGTATATTTAAAGTCCCAAGCCCTTTTTCACCTGGCTTATCTCGAAGTGCAGCTAATTTTTCGGTCTACTGAACACACCTGGTGTCATGACTTAATTCACACATTCTCGCCAGTGGCTATTAATTAGCAACTTCAAATTGGGGGAATCTTAATTATTAGCTCATGTTGGTTGTTGGGTATCTGTGGCAAGGTAATTGGTATCATAACTTGGGTGTTTGGTGTACATAGTCTACGACGCATAAAACTAACCTGACTTCGCTGCAGTTCAGAAATTAAATACAGTATTATTGATATTGCAATTAATTATATACTCTGTATGATTAAAAATCGTAAATTCCTAAAACACAAATATTTTTCACGATAAACTTAAATAAAACAGTCAAGTTGCATTGCATAATGCACAGTGCAGTGATTGATACATTCATGTTTATCTGCATATCATGTTTGACCGCCATTTGCATTGTTAGTTTTGTAAAGTATATGTTCCTTATTATTATGCTTCCTGTCAGTTTGTCTCTATATAACCCTTACCCTACTATTCTCGCATAGTGGTCCAAGGATTTATATAGCGTAAACATACTATGCCGAAAAAGTGCATGGCTTTATTTACTGAATAAAATTCTTCATTGCACACAACCGCGATCAAAATCACGACCATGAGATTGTCAGTCCGATGCCTTATAGATTACGCCACAGAAACGATCACTGATTGGTGGTATTTTATTAAATATCTAAACTTAATTTATACAATTGACACAAGAAGGAAAAAATAGACAAATATTATTTGAAAACAGTTATATTTTTCTAAGGAACCTTAGATTAACCCTTTCACTTCCGTACCGGTCAAATTGACCGGTGGCGCGTTAAAACACGACTTCGCGAAAATAAGATCTCCGTATCTATTTTATGGTAGCACGAAGGTATATAAACTATATATCATCTTTTTGGAAATTTTCTCTACTTTTAAAATATCTAAAAAGATTTTGTCTTTATTGTCGGTATATAATCGATTTTACGTTGTGAAGACAAACGTGACTTTTTGAAAATGGCGTAATTTTCCAAAGCAATTTCCCATTTTCCAGACGATTGACATTTTTTTCCTGATTAACTTTATAAAAAAAAGTATGGTATATTCTTAAAGCATATTTCCTCTGCTTTTAAAATATGTAAAAATTATTGTTATTACTTTAAAGTATGTTTTAAAAACAAGAATTTTCTTGCACTTATGTGTTTTTTCTCGATTTTATTCGTAATGTTTAAACAAAGCTCAGTTTTACGTTTATTTCTGTATTGAAATAGGGAAAACAAAATAAAGCTGGTAAAAGTAGAGAAAATTTCCTTTCCAACAAGCCCTTACAGGCCTTCTTACGCTCAGTATTTTCTTAATTACGATAATTTGAATTTGTGACCTTCGTCTAGTTTTTATGGAAAAATCAGTCAATATTACATGTAACGTCAAGGTCGATATTGTTGCGTCTAACTCGAAACAACAAATTCTTTTATAAGACTTTTTTGACCATTTATATATATTTTTTACTTAAATAAATTCATAATACAAAAAAATGATTTCAAAAAACAAATAAATACTATTGTTCTGCCTTTTGTGAACAAGAAATGTTAATTTATTTATCTACATGTAATGATGTATATATATTTCATGTAGTGATATAACGTTACGTACAATGTTGATTCCCTAATCTGCTAATCGTCGATCTTTAATAAAAAAAAAATCAGATTTTTAATATTGTTGTATCTTATTATACTGTATACTTAATTTGCAATTTAGTTAGATTTATATTGGCTCGAAAGTTCACAATACAAAAACTCGCATTTCATAAATAAATACGACTCATTACTGTATGAGTTGATACGAATTGAAATAACCACGTGTTTCCGCTGTGGTGTAAACATGATGGTGATCCGAAATCCGAACGTCATTTTTCATGATTATTTCACGACGAAGATCATCACATCAATGAATCAAATAATAAGGACATGCCTTTGGTATTAGCAGGTGAGAATACGTGTACATTGACTGAATAGTTTAAGTTTAAAAAATAAAACGCATTAGTTCACGTTCAAAAGAAAATACACTATAGATCTTCCTTCATATTTCAGTGTGCGTATATCGTATTGTTCAACCAATGTTGTGTTGCTTTTGAACTTTGATGTTTTTGACAATCACTCGTAAGTTCAAAGTAAAATCAAAGTTGCAATAATAATGGATAGTTGTTTTCAGTATGTGTGTACCAGTGTGTACATACATGTACGACTTTCACTTTGAATTTTTAGGGTGCAGCCTGCAGGCAACATATGCAACAATGCTTTCATCTGTGAATACCCACTTGCTAAGCCCACCATGAACTACGAAGGCCAATTAATATGTAAGGACACCAATGAAAAGGTAAATTTTTGTTTTGGTGTTGAAAATTTCTGTATATTCTAAAATTTCAAAAAATAAAGTCAAATTTCATTTGTGTCATTCTCATGATATTGCATTCATACAAGTTTATAAACATTTGATTTATATTTTGAAAAATAAGTGTTTGAAACACATAATACAGTGTACTCGTGATGCTTGATTATTCAAACAAACACATTATTTAAACATGTAATATCTATTTGAATGAATGCCGAGATATGGAACAAGCTGTTTTTATAGACTTATGTTATATTTCCAATCTGCATAAAGTATGTGGTTAGAATTTCCATTTTCTCAATTTTTTAGACTTTTCCAATCATCGTACATCATATACATGGGTGGTCAAACTCATTGTATGGTTTATCAGCAATCCCATTCTCACGAACAGTCTTGCCCCAGGAATTTTGCCCTGAAGTAACATTTGCAGTCAATTGTCTCCTTTCTTTTTACAACCTTGGCAGCCATGCAGGTATGCAATCTATGAAAGCCATATAGGGACAAACATTTTTTGAAAAATAATAAAAGTAAACCAAGTTCATGATTTATGCAATCCGGTCTCTCGGATTGACATTCTGTTATAACAGATTGCCAATTCATTCTCACAGATTATCAATTTGTTCCCTCAAATTACACAATACGCTATCTCAGATTGTATAATTCATTCTCCTAGTTTTAACGATTCGTTCCCTCCGAATGTAAACCCTTCCCATGATTTCACATGTTTCATTAAAATTATTTATCCGTACACATCAGATATGGTAATACATGTTTAAAGAATAGAATATTGTACATGTAGTATTTTACATCCTACCTTTTATTACATATAACGGTCCAAAATGAGAAAAATACATGAATATTTTCAAATTCATATGCTTATACTGATATTTGTACAACAAAAAAATCTTTTAGGTTTTTGTGTTACGTGTATTTTAGAATAATTAAAAGTCCGCAATAGTAAAAGTGAATATGGGTCCTGTGTAATATATTTCTAAAATAAATATATGATGAATTAGTAATGAAAGAGGTTGGTAACAACCGGTTGCTGAAACAAAATAAACAGAACACAATAATTGATTAAAATGGTTGGATTTATCTGTACATATATGTAATGAAATTCAAGAGCACAGATTGCCAAAATCATAAGACTGACGTTGTAACAAATCGAGTTCTCGTATTATTAATCTGTGAAAAAAAATGATCGTTATGTAATTCGAGATCTCAAATTATGAATTAAGAGGGAAACTTAGTAATCAGTAAGATCGGGTTGTGTAATTTGAGATCTCGAATTATAAATCGAAGGGAACGATTTCAAATTAGTTATCCATGGGATTGGATTGTCTAATTCGAGATCTCATTTTTTACTTTTTTGAAAAATTGATGTGTCCCTTCATGGCTTTCGTAGCATAATTAAAATTAGATCTTCCATCCACTGCCAGGTTTATTTATATGTTGCAATAGCATAAACAGAGGTCTGGCTTTAGTTAGATTGCCAAATATGCTATTTGTTTTAGTTCAGTAATTTTACCATGATGGTTTACTACAAGGTTGTTAAATTAACAGTCCTGATACATTGACTTAGCATTATCATTTAACTACTTGAATCACATAATACAATTTTAATTTTAAAAGGAAAATCAAATAAATGTAGTAGTTTTAGCACTCTTAATTTTATTTATAAATGTAAATTCATATACACAATGACATGTATCTGTTTCAAAATATTTAAATCTTTTACAGGATAGAAGCTGATCACTTGTACTTGACAGCAAATAATAATCTCTTGGACAAGTCAAAGAACTTCCTCCAGTCTTACAGAGAAATGACAGTTGATAAAAGAATGGTGGACACAAAGTAAAAGTGCTCTTCAACATTTTGTTGAAGATTTCAGTCTGATTTGGAATTCATCTTGCAATATTTCTGGATTTGTATATTTAAGAAATAAAGTCCGCGTTTTCGTGAATGTTGCAGAATAACCTCCGAGGTCGAGAAATGTTGTTTGAATATAAAAGCCGAGGCGTTAGCCGAGGCTTTTATATTTCAAACAACATTTCTCGACCTCGGAGGTTATTCTGCAACATTCACAACAACAAGGACTTTATTTCTATTCTACCACGGACGATTAATTCGGCCGATTGTTTCCTCTATAGAGAAACGAATTAGGTCACCATGTCTCGATTACGCTGTTCTGTTCAACACCAAAGAGAAAATTTGTTGACTTACCTATTTATGGAATGCAGATATCTGAGCTTTCCTTGCATTAAAAACAGTCTTGTTTAATTACAAATTTGTTCGTAATATGTATTGATCAGTTAAAATGAATATACAAAAACAAAATCATGTTCTTGTTTTACTGCTAAAATCACGTTGTTTAATGTGTAGGGAGGTCCGTGGAATAGCCCCGCTCAGCTATAAAAACCGACATTCATCAGCAACTTGATGCAATTTACAGTGTTTATACTGCAAAAGACGACACATCGATGCGGTCTAATCAAGTATTTCATTCTACAGCCAAACTTGCATTTGAATTGTCCAGATTTGATACGTGTTTCTGATCTGATAATTTTTTGATGACGTTCGTGGTCTATTGGAGAATAATGTCCGGTTATACGTGGTCTATTGGAGAATAATGTCCGGCGGCTCCTTTGAAGTTTTTCAATAACCGTGGTAGAATTGGATATAAGCGTCAATTTTCAACTTATTGACTAAACATTTTTGGGTCAAATATTGCCAATGCTATCTATTATTATTATTTCTCTCCAAGATAATGTCAAGTCTTTATTGTACCCCTTAAACTCTGTTATACCAGAAAAATCTTGTAATGAAATCATTTAGTTTCTTTTTCTTGTTAGATTAAACTCATGAAAATAAAGATTATTTCTAATGGCATCAAGAGAATGGATTTCTTATTCAACAAAAAGATTGTATACATGTTTTGCTAGGGGTTTGTAAGAAGCAGACCAGAATTCTTAGCTTGCAAATTTTGTCATTCACCATGTTTTATAACGTCAGCTATTAGGTGATTTATCCATGTTTGAAGCATTTCAAAATTGATATTTACTTACAGTTTAAAGCAGAATTCTGTACTGATATGACCTTGACCCCCTGAAGAACAAGAGTGTCAAGGTCAATTTTTAATACAAAAATGTTCTTTCATCTTTATGGCCCATATATATCTTACAAACAATATCATAAAATATACAAAAAGTGTCTAGAATGTGTCCAGAATGTGAAATAACAAACATGTATATAGCCAAAAACTTTAAAATGATGTTGCTTAGCAACCACTTATAGGTCATAAAACAGATATTTGAACTAAAATGATGCATGGTTATTGCAGTTCTAATCCTTTCTTGAGAGTATATTCAGAATTTTCCATTTCAGCATCCATTGTGTAAAATTATGGCAAGAATATTGAAAAGTGTTGAAAAAAATTGATGAAACTTTTGCACTTATTTGACCTTTGACCTCCTAAAAATAGTTCTAATGAGGTCAAACTTTAAGACAATTTATCTGTTGTATGTCCCTTGTAATTTTATGACCTCACATCTAACTTTTATATGTGCTGGGATGCATAAATGTGTCTAGGATGAGTAAAAAATGAAAATTTCTGCCCGAAAATTAAAGAATTCTGAGTTGCTTAGCAACCCCTTTTAAGTAGTTATATGCAGAATTGAAAAAAAAGTTTATGTGTTTCATGTAGTACAGTATAATGCTCTTTTGTGGGTAGATCCCAAATTTCCTATTTCAACATGCATCATACTTAATATTTAGCTTAAAGATGAAAAAGTATCAAAAAATCCCATAAAATTTTGCACTTAATTGACCTTTGACCTCAATTTTTACTAATAAGGTCAGTGGTTGAGTATCTAAACAGTCATAAAATATCATCTGTAAGAAATTTCCTACAAAATGGTATGCATTATGCCTAGCTTTCCCCTTGGATAAAAAAGTTATACATAATTTAATAATGCCATGTCAAAAGGCCTCCAAAATCACGTAAAATACGCCGGAAGAGAAAGGGTTAATGTATGCAACAAAGTTTCAAACTAATTACATACAGATCGTTAGATGAACTGATTTCATAGGGTCATTAAAACGCTTTTTTATATGAAGCTTGATTGAAGGATGTAAAAGAAAATTATCAATGAGAATCGACGTCTGCAAACAAATAAGTCTTACTAACAAAACAGAAAATAAAGATGGACAGAAAATCCCGACTTATTTAAGAGAAATACTAGTAACCAAAATAACTAAGCATGCAACCAATTTTAGCATAAAGATTTAGCATGAATGAGTTCTTGCAAGTGCGCTGTGTTAGCAGTCTTCACGAAAACTTTTCAAACTAACTGGCCAGTTGGACCAGTGAACTTTCAAAATGTACTGGCCCACCAAAATTTTTACTGGCAGGGATCGCTTTGGGCTGCGCCTTTGCACCATTGGTGCTCAATATTTGTAAATGGCGCACAAAAAAATTAGAAAGGGGTCAGTCTGGCGCATGTCTTACAGGTACATGTATGGCGCTATAAGATGCAAAACTGTGGGTCGAAACTCTTATCTTGGTGCATTTTAGGACCGTTTTCAAGCTGACCGATTTTATTCATGACGTATCTGAGCATACTGTTACTTCGTTAAATCAGACTATTTGTAGTTGCGTATGTTCTTTACACCAGCAGAGTGCTGGTTGATCAAGACTAAAATCGGAATTGTACATGGAATATTTCCTTCGTTTAGATTAGGCTACTAGAAATTTTTTTTACCGAATATCGAGTCAATTATATTTATTAAAATTATATGTAATGATTTAAATAATAAACATATTAAAGTGATACTCCAGTATGTAATATGTTCTAATATTTCTTAAAACTTTGATTATTTATTTCGAAACAAAACAAGTACAAGTTACTCATTGTGTATCCAGACACTTGCCCGAAATGCCTCCAAAGCGAATATCGGAATTGGGGCAACTGACCCAAAACAACGAAAGCTTTCATTTGTTTTACAAATAAAACGACAGAAACTTTTTCAATCCCAGACTCGGCAGAGGTCTCTGATTAAGAAGAACAGTCAAAGACGTTGACTCCTGATGTCAACGGCAATGATGTTCGTCATTTCCAGTCCAAGTGGCTAACTTTGCACCAGTGGTTGGAATTTGATCAGATGGGACTAATATGTTTTGCAAACAAATAAAAATTTCCTCATTTCAGTTTTTTGCATATTTTGCTCCGAGTTCTTTGCATACAAAACCAGTCCCTACCATTTGAACCAAATTTAATCTGCAACTGCCCCAGGTCTATTCAGTAGCGAAATGTGCATGTAAGTTTGCATCCTTTATAGTTTAGCTCTTCAACAACTTTCGAGAACTAAATCGATAAAATCAAAGGGGCAAGGAATTAACTTAGGTATTCTGTTTATCAGTTATATTTATACTCTGTTGTATGAAGTCTAAAACAATTCTCCAATATGACATTTTTCAGTACTGAGATGAAATTTAAAATTTTATATTTATAATATTATTCATTTTATTTTAAAAAACTGAAATTGGTTGTGTCAGAAATGGCATTTAAAAACCCTCAAAGACCCATCAAATTGACTTGAAATTCATCACAAAATAGCATGGAAAATCAATTTTCAAATCAAACTGGACCCCCTACCGGGGCATTGCCCCTGGACCCCAATGGGGGCCTAACGCGGCCCCCATACCCCCGGCGGATGGCCCATGGATTTTAATGTTGATCAACATTAAAATCCAGAGTGATCACTGACTGGCCCCTTAATGAAAAAATAAAATAAATACATTTGTATAACTGTAAATTAATTATACTTTTACGCACTTCAACTTTTGAAATGCCGCCATTTTTCATCCTTTGTTGTGTTTTGGTAAGTTGTTCGTTGGAAATTCACACATTTTACGTACTAGTTAATAGTTACTAGCTAGTTCCTGTTGTTACGTAATACATCCAGGTTATAAAAATACGATTCAACAACAAGTGTTTGTTCTCATTTTATATATTAATGAAATTTAAGCAAGTAAGTCAGTTAAAATATATATTGACTGTGTATGATTTTTAAAATCAACAAGCCCATCAGACTTCTTGAATTTTGATTTTCACTGACCCGACATCAAAATTCACTGGCCTCGGTCTTTGGACCAGTGAGTTTTTGTGAAGACTGTGTTAGTACCTATATTTTCAGGAAAAAGTCAAATGGATTGCCGCATAAATAATTACAACAGTCAGCATAATAACAATAGTGTTATAGTATAGTATATAGTGTACTATTATACGATGGTTGTCCCAAAAAGTCGTAGACAATGTTTATAATTGTTTTAATACGCAACCAATACTAACCAAATTTTGCATAGACATAATATATTCAATGTTCTTTAATATTGTGAATTTTTAAATATATATCTTTCATCATGTTCATATTGACAATTTTAGGACGATTTATATGAAGGCCGATAAGGCCTGTCGGCGCACGAACAAAATTCAGAATAATTTTTGCATATTAATATTACATTTCCTTTTATTTCTTTAGTACTGTGTAATACATTGAACTAAAATTTACATCACTGAAATCGGAATCAAAATCTTAATAATATATCCAAATTTCATATGAATAGCTTTCAAAACAAACGATTGGTGTCATATGATTTTCATAGTATCATTGGAATTGAGTTTGATGAAAATGATGTCGTCAAACGCGTAACCGGAGCATGGAGATGTAATAAATTGTGTTGAATATGCTTTATTTACATCATAGACGGGAAAAGAATAAAGAAGTGACATTACACACCAGATTTTAATAGAAAAAAAGTTGTTTTTTTTTGGAACAATATTCAATGAGAGTTTTTCTCTCTACCGAAAATAGTTACAGCATATAAGAAGTAGAGTACTATTTGTTAAATGCAGACAATTGGGAACAATCTGGACGCATACGACGTTAAACAATGTGTATTCTCTCCTGCCTACAATATAAGGCAATCTTTCGACTAAAATTCGACTGAAATTTGAATTTGCTTTAAAAAATACATAAAACAATAAAACAAACAGACAGTAGTGAATTTAAATGAGTCCCTTAGTGAAGAGTGGACTATCACTTTAAAAGGAAATATTTAATGTTAATGGACGTGAGTAAAGCAGATAGAGATCATGACGTTATAAGAGACGTTGTTTACGTTTGCTTTCGTGCGCCGGTGTATACTTATATTCTTTCTTATTTTTACATAATTTTCTCATTAGTTGTGATATCATCATGAAACTTGAAATGCATGATCATAAAATGTTACTTTTTGCTATGACAAGGAAAGAAATTAAATTATTAGCAAAGAGAAGCTAAACTGTTTTCCCTGTCTACGACTTTTTGGGACAACCCTCGTATAAGTAGTACTTCGTAATGTAATACATGTAAGCTATTAATGATATTCAAGTAAACAGTTTAAATTCTGATTATTTTTTTTAGTGCTCTAAATAATATTTTGCACTAAATTTCATCAATAGTGTATTTTAAAAATTCATCTTTTTCTTTTCTTACGGAGAAGGTTCTTAAACTATAACGCTAATGATACATTCTGTTTGACCACGTACGCATGGCCTGCAAAATGTAAAATCGCTGTACATATGCAATAAGGCATGTATATTAAATTGTTTTACAATATACATGATAAAGAAAACAACAACATTGTTTTTCTCAATATTCATTGTGAATATGCTTGAGTCTTTACCATAAAGATGTTTAGTTAGTGTTATGAATGAAGATATATATTAAAAAAAAAGGGAAA